GTGGTTTGGAACATGATATGGCATTTAATCCCGACAGCATTTAGCTGAGTATCTCGTAGAATTCTGAGCACGCATTAGCTCCCCCTCCTCTTTTTTTCTTTTTTCAAGCTAAGGACCCAAATCAGCAATTCTCTAATGGCGCATTTCCACTACACGGTCGGCCTCGGCCACACTCGGTACGGCTCGGTACGGCTTGGCCGCGTTGGGCCTTAACAGGGCCGACTCACTTCATGCTGCGCTTCCATTACAGTTTAGGAACTGGGGTAGTTACTATAGTAACGCAGTGTAGGCGGAGCCGTGACGTCATCTTCAATGAGAAATCCAGAAACACAACACAGCCGTTAGCTGTTAGCACTCAGAGCTCACAGCTCCTTATATATGTTCAGAAACTCGACAAAAGTTAAACAAGTACACACCACAGACTGCCTGTGTCATGGTGAATACAGTCGCTGCTTTATTTATGTCTGTATAGGCCGTTGTTGTGAGTGTGGACGGTCGGGGCATATACTGCGTTAGCTTAGCCAATCTCCATCTAGAAAAACACGAATTTTAAAAGGTTTTTCGCCTGCCGTCTGTCTGCAGACTTGACAAAGCATTAATTCATGGTTTTTACTAACCGGTATCAGTATGTTGTTACTTCGGCATCATTTTGAAACGTGTATTACAATTAAATCACGGTCAAATATGTCCATCTTGTTGTAGTTCTAGCCCTCTTGCCAGCGCTCCTCTCTCTAGTTTAGCATACTCAGCCCGACTCAGCCCTGTTTGTTGGCCCCGATAGAACCACAATTTTCTAGGGCCAGAAAAGAGGTGAAAAAGTGGCCCCGCGCCGTGCCGCGCCGGTAATTGGCCTAGTGGAAGCACAACCAAAAAAGGGGACGGCACGACACGGCACGCTTAAAGCGAGCTCCGCGCTGCAGTGGAACTGCGCCATAACAGGGCTTAAATAGAGGGATATGAGGGATGTCTAAAATGCATGATCTCTTTGGTATTTTGAGCAAAACACATCATAGTAGGGCTGTGCAATTAATCGTATTTTAATCTCGATTACGATTTTGACTTGCAACGATTACGAAAACAACGTAATCAAAATAAAATGATTATTTTGCTGCATTCCCTTTCGCATGATGCTCTCAATTTTCTCTCGACTTTGCATGTCAGCCGTGTTGTTGCGTTCGAGTGTGCAGATGTGTGCATGCATGCGTGAGAGTGAAGCGACCTTGTCAGAGGATGTTTCTGCCTCATGTCTTTCCATGTGTGTGTGTGTTTGGCATGCGTGTGTGCTGCAGACTGAAACACACCCAAACAAACAAACACCAACACGTCTGAATGTGACTGAGATTATTTCGAGGGATGTCACGCTACCAGAGGTTTAGCAGTCGATACCAATTACAGTGAAGATCCAAGATCTTTGAAACAGCAGTAAAATCCAAAACACATGATGTCATTGTAATCTAAATCCCTCTGTTTTGATTGCACAATGTATGCATATGGTGTTGTTTTCTTTGTTATTATTGGTTTTAAAAGAGGCCCTATTTAGCTTTTAAAGGTTTTCCATTCCGTCTAGTGTGTTATTTAGGTTATTGTGCATGTAAATGGTATGCAAAGGCTAAAATCCCTATATTCCCTCCAGAGGGACACACGTGTGACACGCATTGTAAGGTCATGTATAAAAATGAGGGCTGTCAACGTTATCTCTCGCGATCCGTAACGCGTTAAAAAACAAAAATAACGAATATTAATCACAAAGTTTGACCCCAACCTCCTCGTGTAATTCCAGCACGGATGTGTGCCATGAATCACAAGGCAGTGAAAAGGCAAAAAGCGGAGAAATTCAAAAGACATGTATTGCACTGACTGGAAACCCCTGGACAACAGTAGGCACCATCACTACCTCGCTGGTGAAAACAGAGGAAAGACATTTTGTTGATCAATGATCTAGCTAGCTTTTTAAGTTGCAGATAGCGGACGGACACGGTCCCCATTGTAGGAACAGAAAGTGCTAGCAACAATAATAAAACCATACGAGTATACTCTATGCCTTTGTAGCGCAAAAGAGGGCAATCACAGTGACTTCTCCAGTTGGAAAATGTTGAGACTTCATGCAAATAATTATCTTGTTATAAAAAAAGTCTCAAAAGTATCATCATTTTCTAAATCAAGGCGACACATATTTTATGCATCTAAAGGTTGTTAGTTACAATTTCAAATCTACAAAGTTAATATATGGATTAGCAAATCAGGAAAAAAAAGTAAATTGTCAACCATTTTAAATAATGAAATAATAGTTCCAAGACATTTATCAAAGAAAAGGAGAAACAGCTTGCAAAAATTCATTTAAATCACGTATTGATATGAAGCTATATGCAAAAATCTGAAAAATATATCCTCTTAATAGTGTAAATTAGGGATGCTCCGAACGCCAATTTTGGGGCCGATCGCCGGAATCAGTATCGGCCGATACCGATCGCCGATCCGATCGAGTGGGCGGGGTCTATGGGGATCTTCCATTTAAAGTGATGTTTAAAACCCAGTTAATGGGGCTCATTCACTGATGCTTCCACAAACAACCAACATAATTATTACATTCAAATGAAGTACATTATTCAAGTTTACATTAACTTTGGATAATAACACGGGAGAAATTAGCGAAAGCGCTCTCTTTTCCTCTCTCTCCCTCTCTCTCTCTCTCTCCTGACAGCCTGTCAGTATCTCATGCAGCTCACTGATCCAGTAATGAGTGACCCGACAGTGAAGAACAAACATATTTATAACTAGTTTAGCTAGTTCCAGAGGTAGATAAAATAGCTAAGTGTGTTAGGTCTAACTCTTAGTGTGTGTTTCGCTCCGCTCACCGGTCCGTCACAGCGGGTGGAGCTGCAGGATTTCTGCTTCACATACCGCTATTTTATTGTCCTTTTCGGACACCTTAAAATACTGCCAGACTGGTGAAGCCATTTTGGCGAGCTTGTTTTGCCGCGCACTGTCATGTATTTTACGTCATAATTTTACGTAATGCGATCGGCTCTCGCGATCGGCATTTTTAGAGAGCACCGATCGAACGGTAGAGAGTGAGTATCGGCCGATATCGATCGGTTGCCGATCGATCAGAGCATCCCTAGTGTAAATAATATAGTATATGATGCTGTTTGAATATTGTGTTTTTTTGTTCAACATTTTTTTCTTAGAAAAAAGATATTCAAAAATGTTGATTTTTAGTTTGTTATTTAATTCGTTTGGGAACTCTTTGGTTCTTGTCATGGTTTTCGGTTTTTAAAGATTAAATTATTACATATGCAACAAATCCTAGATAGATTGATTGCTAAAATTAATTTCCTTCAAATTGTCACATGACAAACACACACAGCATGATTTCCTGTGAAAAACTCTCATTGTTTCACACAATAAAATGCTTTAAATTAGAATGTTAACGGAGACCGTCGACCATCTTGGATCTGTGTTTACAGCTCGGCTCATATCCTGACAGGAAGAGGAAGTCTTTCTGAAACAGAGCTCACTAATATACCCCCCTTGTGCAGAGTACACAGTAAATTCATTCTTTTAACAAGATTTTATATTATTAAACTCTGTTTTTCAGTATTTACACATTTTGAGATTATAAGGAGTAAAATGTTTGACTTTTATTCCTCAAGTGCAAATGACCTCATGAATTTAGCATCAACCTAAACTTTATATTTTGGTTTTAAAACAAAATAAGAGAACCGTTTAGTTTCAGTTTTAGACAACCCTGGCCTGTATTGACCCAATTAGTAGGGCTGCGGTATATATTAATAATATGTTTACATTCTGATATAAGACTAGACATTGTCTTAGCTGTTGGAGATCGTAATACGCGTCTTCTCTTTCGTTGTAAAAGCTGCATTAGAGCAAAGTGATGCATTTTTATTAATTGTTTCTCATTGTGTGAACATTTTATGAAAGCACTAATAGTCCACCCTACAATATTGTCACAATATAATTTTAAAGATATTTGGTAAAAAATATTCTGATATACTCCATATCGGCCAGCGCTAGAAAAATTGTTATTATTAGGTTGTTTTGTGTAATTTAGTAGTAACTAGCATCAGAAGTTTTCTATCATACCCGATCATGATTCATGACAGACCTTTCGTCGACCTGGTCCAGAGACTACAAATTGAAGCTTGTGGAGACATGTTTTGGCATATGGTGGTGGTGCTTCTCTTGATGATGAATCTGACTTGACACCCGTGAAATTACTAAAAAACACATTCCAGAAAATCTGAATATATCACCGCCTGTGCCACATCTTTGTTTGCCTCCTTTATCCCGCCTCGGTTAATTTCTTCCCCTATGAAACGCTGATTCAACCTCTATGTGGTCACAGACCCATCCAGCACCAGTCTGAGGATTCTATGTCCCTTTAGGGGCAATTTGTCAAATTATTATTTTGATTTCCTTTTTTGCATGTTGATATTTCTGTGCAATATATCATCACTTAAATAGAATACATATTTTTAAGTTTTATACTAGTTTTTTTAAATGGTCCTTTAAGTGCTCCTATTGTACAACTTGTGTTTATGTGTGCACAATTTTACACACAAGCAAATTCCTTGTGTAACCATATTGGCACTAAACCAGATTCTGATTATAGTCCAATTAAACCAGCATGTTATTCACAGAAATGAGTCCTGGTTTGCCATTATAACCAATCTCTTTTCTATTATACTCCAATTAAAAACCCCAATTATAAAGTTAAGATCCATTTTAAGCTTCCCTGAGCCATATTTCTCCCCGTCTGGAGCCTCTTTGTCCGGCTGCACATGTAGGAGCAGCCCATGCGTGGATCTTTGTTGAGCACCTGCAGGCCTCACTTTCTCTCCGAACTCATAAACCTTAAATCGGCCTGAAGAGTTACGCAACGTGTGCGTGCTGTTATACACACAGGGAGGAGTGCCCCCGCGCAACTGTTTGTTTGCGTGACTATGTGTGAATGTGCGTGTTGTGTAACGGCTGCCTACCAACGACTCGTCCCCGCTGCTCCAGGCGGCGTGTGTCGGTGTGGAGGTAGGTCTCGGTGCCGTGCCCGGCGGGGGAGTATAGCTGCGGCTGCTCGGGCTTTGTCCTCCCGCTGTCCGCCCTCTCGTCGCCCGCCGCCCTGCCAGTCTTGTTCCTACCCGCCACCGGGGACCCTCCGTTGTTTTTGCTGCTGTTGCGCTGGTTCGACTCCCACGTCTGCACCTGGAGCCGGAGCCTGCGGTTTTCCTGCTCCTTCACGGCGGTTTCCAGCAGCAGCGTGTTGAGGCTCGAGCCCACCGTCTTGCTTATTTCCTGGACGGCGAGCTGAACGACCTGCTCCAGCACGGACTCCAGCTGGCCCTGGAAAAACGAAATGTACACGGCCCCGTTCATGTTTTCGCCCCCTCCGGTTAGAGGGCTCTCTCATTATTCTGTACCCGAGCCCCCAGGCTTCCCACCTGCCCTGTGTCTCCGGGAAAACTTTGTAAAAACTGAAGCCCGGGTCGCTCGTGGTGACAGCGGCTGCTCGGCTGGGCTCCTCCGGTTGTTGCCGTCTCTGCCTCCGCGCACCGCGCGGCTTCTGCTCCTTTGCAGGATCTGCCGGAAAGTCCCGAGTAGAGGCGCAGCAGCTTTTTACCGCCCACATGTCTAGGCCGTGCACGCTCGCGCCCTTGCAGAAAGCCACCTCGCCATTTTGGCTTTCAGAGAATAACACTCCCAAATGTCAGGAGTGGACCGTGTTATTACTGCAAAATACCCACAAATTACACACTGAGGCTGCAACACTGCAATAATGGTACTTATATAAGCACTTCGGACTAAGAACTGTAGCTTTAAATTATAATTTAAACAACATTAGTAGGCTAATTAAAACAATCTTGTGATATTATTGGAGTTACTGACATTGACTCATAAATTATGCCTCTTTATGTTTTGCATAGAAAGCACTTTTGTAAAATTGTTAGTTGATACTAAATGTTGTCATTTATTTTTTGTTTCATTGTAGTCATTGTGTGTCTCTCTGAGTTGTTTTGTGTGTCTATGTAATAATTTTGTCTTTTTATGTTATTTTCTGTCTTTTGGTAGTCTTTGTGTCTCATTTGTCGTCATTTTGTGCCTCTTTTAATTTGTGTATGTCTCAGTGATTGTTTGTGTCTCTTTGTAGTGTTGGAGTGTCTCATTTGTCGTTAATTTATGAATCTTTGTAATAATGTTATGTCTCTGTCATCATTTTGTGTATTGTTTGGTGATTTTGTGCAGACTGAAGCCCTTTTGTGCCTCTTTGTAGTAGTTTATTTTAGGTGTCTGTTAGGGATATTTTGTATATTTGTATTCATTGTTTGTCTCTTCGTGGTTGTTTTTTTTTGTCTTTGAAGTCCTTTTGTGTGTTTTCAAAGACATTTTGTGTTTCCGTAATGATTTTGTTTCTCTTTGTGGTTATTTTTTGTCTCTATGAAGTAACAGTGTGACTCTTTGCAGTCAGTTTTTGTCTATATGTTGTGTATGACATGGTCATTTTGTGTCTTTGTAGGCATGTTGTGTATATTTTTGTCTTTTGTAGAGGTTTAGTGGCAAATCCACTTTCTGTCTGCTCTTAATTCTTTATCCCCCCCCCCCCCCCCACACACACACACACCCCAGGACCCATGTGTTTCCTCTCTGGGTAATTTCTCATCTCCATGCAGCCTAAAAAACAAGCGTTCCTAAGGAATGACTGGTTTCCAAGGAGGACACAATAAAAAGTCTGTAGGAGCAGCCTATAGGATTAGCCACATATACAGGCCTATACGGGAACTCACGCCTTATAAAACCACCGGACCTCCCTGCTCCACGTCAGCCAAAAAAACCTCCAATCAGCCTCAGCTCTGTTTGTTTCTCTAAGGAAGGCAAAGGTGGTGATCCAAGTGTAAGAGTGTGGAGAGAAAGAAATGTAACATATGTAAGCTTAAAGAAAAGTAGCCAAAGTAATTTGAACATACAGAAAACATCATTAGTGTAGTAGAGGATTAGAATGCTAGATTTGCAATTTATGCAAACCCTTTACTGCCTGGAATAAAACAACAAGATACAAAGAATAAGATTTTTTTAAAAAAGGTAAAGAGTAAATAAAAATAAAATAAGCTAAGAAAAGATAAAAAGAGAATAAAATAAAAATAAGATTAAACGTTATTATTACACAAATAAGTCCTTTATTTGGGATGTGTCCCATAGTAGTACTACATCAAAACTGTAAAGAAATAAAAATGATACAATAACAATAAAAGACACATTTGGTAAAATCAGTAAATTGTAAAAATAAATAAAAATACAAATAATATTGAAGCATATTATGTAAAATACTATTTACTAGTGATGATTGAAAGGATTTAAACAGTTAACATTTAAAAGAGCAGCTCTTAAAGGTCATAATAATAAGGCACAAGATTGTGCACAGTAATGCCTCATAAGCTAATTTTAAAGGGTGTGTGTGCAGTTAAAGTGATGATTAAACATTTTAAAAGGACTCTTTGATGCGTGTACACCGAAATAAATCAGGAAATGATCTGAACTTCCCCTCTGGTTTGTGTCTGCATGAGCATGTACAGAAAACACACTGATGACATAACACAGCGTTGCATTCACATGTTGTATTCACACCACAGGCCATGGATGTATAATAAGAATTGGATACAGCGTCGGAGGCGGAGTCTCGTTCTTTCCTATGAGAGCTGCACATTGGCGCATGAGGACAAAATGGCCCAACTTTTGAGAGAGCGAAATGTCACAGATTACCCATCATGCCTGGCTGTGCGCTCCCAGAGCATGCACCCCTTAAGCCCCGCCCCCCTAGCTCCCACTCTCGGCTCACTAGAATGAGTGGAGAAAAAATAAATCTAGATTCGGCTTTTAGTGCATTTTACAACTTTAAGGACCTAATGATTATAATAAGGGCTATAAAATAGTTCATACTGGGTAATTTATTTAGTTTAAAAAAAATTATCCGCTGATTTACAAAAGTCTCTTTCCCAATGTTAGTCAATGGGAAAAAGTATTTCTGGGCCCAGGGACGCCACGGACTGATACGGAAATTGTAGTACCGCCGTTTGGACACAACGAATATTTTCCTCAGAGTCCGGCGCACTTCCTGGGGGCTTGCCACAGGCCTGCAAACGGAAACTTAAAAACAAGGCTGCAGACGCAGTCAGCGGGCGCCGCTGCAGCGTCAAGCCGCCTCTTGGTTCCACAAAGGCAGCCGTAGAGCGAGAAGAGGCCGCGGAGTGGGGCGTGTGTGCGGGCCAGGTATATGTGTGCCTCCTGCAGATCCTCACAACAAATAGATGGAGCTCAGCGACCATAATGCCGACCCCGCCCCCCTTTCATGCTACAGGCCCGCGCTCGTCACAGTTACCGTAACGCATGGCCAAAACGCGCAGGTTTTTTAAGGGGGAGTGTCCCTCTTCTGCGGCATGGCTCAATGAGAGAGCAGGCTCTGCGGACACAAAGCAGAGCTCCCCCCCCCCCCCCCCCCCCCCCCCCCCCCCCCCCCCCCCTCTGCTGCTGACACGCTGTGGTGTTGTCAGTGATGTAATGCTGAATTAAAGGGCGGTGAGACAGGAAAACTAAACCATTAAAACCTCTGCAGGTAACACATGGGCAGAGCCTCCAGTGTTATTATGTGTTGGAAAAGACAATCAAATACCTACGAAAAGACACAAAGCTATCACAAAGAGACCAAAAAAAACACAGCAACTCGAAGCATGTACAAACATACATAAAACAACTGCAAAGAGACAAAAATAAGTAGAGATACAACATTACTGTAAAGAGACACAAAAGGACTGTAAAGAGACAAAATGACTACAAAAAGACACAAAATGACTAAAAAGAGACACAAAATTACTACATAAGCCGCTTTCACACCAAGTACTTTGCCGTACTTATGGCGCATTTCCATTGCAGGGCCTCGCTCGGCTTAGTACGGCCTTAGTTAGGCCTTAGTTAGGCTAGGTTAGTTAGTTAGGCCTTGTTAGATCTTGTTAGGCCTTGTTAGGCCAGGCTCACTTTATGCTGCGTTTCCATTACAGTTTAGTAGCTGAGGCAGTAACTATAGTAACGCAGTGTAGGCGGAGCCGTGACGTCATCTTCAATGCGAACCACAGAAAAACAACATCAGGCGTTAGCTGTTAGCACTCATGCTCACAGCTCCTCATATCTGTTCAGAAACTAGACAAAAGTTAAACAAGTACAAACCACAGACTGTCTGTGTCATGGTGAATACAGTCTCTGGTTTATTTATGTATAGGCCGTTGTTGTGAGTGTGGACGGTCGGAGCATATACTGCGTTAGCTTAGCCGATCTCCATTTAGAAAACACGCATTTTAAAAGGTGTTTCGCCTGCCGTCTTGTCTGCAGACTTGTCAAAGCATTAATTCATGGTTTTTACTAACCGGTATCAGTATGTTGTTACTTCGGCATCATTTTGAAACGTGTATTACAATTAAATCACGGTCAAATATGTTCATTTTGTTGTAGCCCCCTTGCCGCAGGCCGCAAACCACTTCACGACGTATACTGCCACCCGAAGTCCCCAACCGGAAGTCCCCGGAGTTGGGGACTGGCTTCAGTAGAAGCTGCTGGGACTCCCAGCAGCTTCTACTGAAGCCTTCCGAGTAAATCGCCAGAACACCGACACCTCCTCATCACTCCACCGCTCCAATGTTTTTTTTTGTGTTGCCATAAGTTATTCTCTCTCCGTTGGTGCGCAGGGCTAATGCTAATGCTAATAATGCTAATGCCAGCAAATACAACAAAACAAATACAATGCGGCTTCACAAAACTTTTCAGAGTTTTACGGGGCGTGGTTTGCAATTCGCCCAGCCAATCAGAAATTGGCACTTTTTTCTCCCCAGGATAGTACCACCTCTCTAGCAGGCACTAAAAATGGGGGTAAAAGTTCTCTGAACTAAGTTCTCTTTTTGGTGTGAACGCAAAATTCCAGGCACTATCGGAACTAAACGGGAAAAGTACAGGTAAAAGTACTCCGGTGTGAAAGCGCCTATAGGTAAACAAAATGACTACAAAGAGGCTCAAAAGGACTACAAAAAAATAAGAAAGGACCATTGCAGGACATCTATAAAAAACTGTGAGGTGACATAAATACAACAGAACTTTGAATAAAACAACATTCAGTAAAGCTGTTGTTTGTAGCATGTAAACTGTAGGAAGTGTTTTAAGATAAACTGGTTGGCGAGAAGAGATAACAACAGAAACTTCCTCCTCCACAGCCTCAAACCTGTACACTTTAACTGAAACTCTGCAGACTGGAGTCTATGCAGTTTTATTTTCCTACAATAAATCCCATACAAGTATTGTGTGCACAGAGGGGAAGAACTTATCAGATTTGATACTTTGTTCAAAGTAAATGTCTAGTATACAAACATACTTAAAAGTTGTTAGCATCAAAATATATTAAGAAGTTAAGATAAGATGGACCTTTACTAATCCCCGTGGGGAAATTCAGTAGTTTAACAGCAACAGGGTAAGATTTAAAAACAGGACAGCACAGATTCATACAATTAAGGATAAAGTCAAAGATAAAATAAGAAATGAATTAAAATGAACATATACATATTTGGTCATGTGTACATATTATTTACATGTGTGTGTGAAAACAGTGTATTTTATGTCCAGTAATTGTGTCACATTGATGACATTGTTAAGAGTACCAAAAGTAAAAGTGCTCTTAATCATATATATTATATTTTATATGAGATTCAATTATTATTAATTAATTATTTATGCGTTATTCTGTCCATGACTTCAATGTTGCACCTAATAAAGAAGACGATGTAATTACTTTAAAGGGGACCTATCATGCAAAATGCACTTTTTTATGTCTTTTATACATAAATATGTGTCCCTGGTGTGTCGGGGAACTCACGCAGCATCAGAAAATAAAACCCTTTCTCTTTTCCTCCGTACCCAAATCTTTAAAAAAAACGGGGGTACAACGAGCGTATACAGATTTGCTGCCGATATGACGTAATTTCGGATGGTGGACCCACAGAAAGTTGCTATCAGAAACAATGCCTGACGTGTTTTGGACGTAATCTTGTCTTTGTTTACATTAGCAAGCCTCGCTAACCCTCAGAGCTAACCTGTACTGGAGAGCACATGTGTTTAAAAAGCAGGAAATAAAAAAAGGAACTCAACTTGTGATAAACCCGCAAGAGAAAAAGCATTTGAGCTCCATACTGTTTCAGAAATAATCCTTGATGTGGTTTAGAACAGGATGGCGTTTTATCACAGCAGAATTTAACTTTGTCTCCGGTAGAATTCTGATCAGGCCTCCTCTTTTTTTTTTTTCAAGCTAAGGACCCAAAATCTGTGTTTCTCTAACAGGGCTGGAATAGAGGGATATGAGGGATGTCTAAAATGCATGATCTGTTTGTATTTTGAGCAAAACACATCATAGACATGTTTTTATACATTTGTATATATCTGTGACCCATAATATATGCCTTAAAATAGCATGATAGGTGCACTTTAATGTATAATAATAAATCATTATTAATTCATTTATTAATTC